AAGGTATGGAGATAACCTTCTCCCATAGAATCAGTTTTTTATGTTGGTTGTGGTTTGATGTTTTGCAGATGAGTGCAGGAAAGGACAGTTGCAGTCAGAGTAAATGCCTCCAGGCTGCCTGTAGGAACTGGATACAAAGTCTCATTAACTGTGTACCACAGAGTTTCTCCATCATGGCTCAGAATATGAATTCCTCCTCTTTCAGGGGTGTAAGCTATGCTTAGCTGTGAGCACATAACATTTGTTCCTGTCAGGAAGCTGTGGGTAGACGTCGATGCTGCCAGGACTGGCATTGGGATATCAGAATGCTTTATCCCTGTGTCCAGGTGTTCCCCTGCCTGCAAGGAAAACAACCTTCTCCCTGATCCTCCTGACCATGAAAGCAGGTTTGACTGTTGTCAGGAAACCCAACAGTTTCCATCTCAGAACAGCTGAAATATGCACAAAGAACTAAGAAACTTGAGAGTATCCATACACCATACTTTGGCTTCATGTCAGAGACAGCACCAGTGTTGGTAAAGAATGGAGAAATACTAGGAGTCAGTTTTGAGACTCTGGAATTAACACCGACCTTGTTATTTTGAAAAGCATGACGGGGAAGGAATCGAAATAAATGAGAACAAAATATTGTACCCTCCTGCAGTGACTAATGATGAAGCATTTGCATGTAGAAGGAAATGGAAATCTCTGGACAAGAGGCTCCTGCTGTACAGTTCTTCCAGAAATTTTGGAAGTTCAGAAAAGATTTTGTCAGAGGCAATAAAGAAATGTCTGGAGGCTGTGTTCCATTTAGAGATTGTTCCCAGATGAAGAAATTTGTAAGGAGGAATGGGTGAGCTGCCAGACTCATAATGAATGTTTGGGTTAGGGCCATAGGCCTGTGTGTTTGGGGAAAGGCTTAGAGCAAGGATGGGGCCAAGGAGTACAGGGGCAGGTCTTAGGGCCAGGGCATGTCCCAGAGCTGGTAAGAGGTGAAGTCACCTGCAGAACCAAGTGCAAGACATATGTGTGCTAGGAAAGGGGTACTGAGCAGTTTCTCACGTTTACTTCAGGGACTGGGTATGATTATATATGAAAAGCACTGTACCATACTTTGCCCTTCTTTGAATGCAAATGAGAAAAAAAAAAGGAGTGGAAGCTAACTTGCTCAAAATGCCTCACAAGAGACAAGAACTGCTTGGAATTACTGCTCTTCTTCATTTATTCTTTGCGACCATCTTAAAATGTGTTTTCCAAGGTGTTTTGCTCTTAGTATATTTATAAATGAATTGGAAATGTGAGTATTCTTTACTTGCATGATTGTATGACAAAAAGATTAAGCCTTCTTGATGAACTAAGAAATCATTTGGAACTATCTGAGAACCTGTCAAACAGATTCTTTCTGGCTGGATATTTAGCTAGAGAAAACCAGAATTCTGGACTTCCAAGAAAAAAATATTTGACTACCAGCAAGTTTATACATTTTGAAACAAATTTGGTAGAAGTTATACAGAGATTTATAAATAAAGAAGTTGTAAAGAGAAGATAGGCAAGTAAGGTTGAGGCCTAGAGAGTGAAATAATAAAATGTCAAGGAGAGAAGAGAATTTTAGGAAGAAGTTGTACAATATGCTAACCGGGTGAACAGTTTTCTCCTTTTTATTTAATTCTGAGCAAAGACTTCTTCACTCAAAGATAAAATCTAAAAATAAGCCTGGTGTTACTGCTGGCAGTGTCACAAGACATGTAATTTTTTTGTATATACATTACTGCAGAGTGAGCTAAGAAACACAAAGTCTTAAAATTGCCATTAAAGCCTGCTCAAGCAATAGTTTTTCTATGATCTCATTTTCTCTTAACAGTTTTAATCCTTTTAGCTTAAATTGACTTAGTCTATAACAACCATCTTCATGGAGCTAATATTTGTTTGTTACAAATTACTTTTTCAATGTCTTAACTTTGCTGTAGTGTTTACCAAATTGAACTAACCTCCTTTTGCTTTGCATACAACAATAGCCTTTAACATTTATCCATCCTTATCTATTAGGATAAAAACCTACATAACCAAATGAGTAATAGCCAGATTAAAAAAAAATTAAGGAGTTATAAAGATGTAGGACAACAATCAAAACCAACTAACTAATTTTTAAACAAGCAGTTTTTTCAAGAGAGCCAGCTTGCAAAAACTTTTGGAAAACCACCATCTAAAACTTGGGTTCTTTGTATGTGTTCAGTTTGAATATCCCCAAATGGAAATCTTTGAGGAAATTAAACAGTGCTGGGAACATTGATGGGCATTGGAGCTCCACCATTATTGCTGCTGTTAAATTGCTGGAGCTGTCTCTGGCCTGCAGTGAATAGCAATCCCCAAGCAATCCCCATGCCCAGTTCAGAGGCTATAGAGTAGGCACCACTCTATTTCAGTGGGAAGGTGAGTTTAATACTGTGAATGCAGGCCAGATGGCCTCTTGAGTTTAGCTGGCGCCTTGGGCTGCTCTCTAGCACCGAGACCAGTGGTACAAAGTAGCCTGTGTCTCTGCTACTGAATACCCTGAGCTCTCAGACCAGTGCATCCACACAGCATAGATCCCTGGCTCATGCTGCTTCCCATATCATGCCTAAGGATTGCTTGAGAAAATGTGAATTGTCCTAGGACAACAGTATCAGAAACTGTTCTAATGATTTAACAGCCTAGAAGAGTCAATTCTGTGTTACACTAGTAAAGGTGATTAATAATTATATATGCCACTAGCATAATAAGATGGAAAATAGTTATTTCAGGATATCTGAATTCCATTAGAACATGAATTTTGTTTCTGCTCAACTTGGCTTGTATTCAACCTGCAACCCGAGCATATTCGTACACTTGTGAATAAAGCCATACTGTAGAGTGCACATGAATAAATCCAGGCAGTCATTCTTATTGTCATTAAAGAGCATTTTTATTCTATGCTAACAAATGTTCTTGGTAATCTATGAATGAGGCCTCTGAGTTAACCAGTGAAAACAGGCATCTCTCTCACCCTCTGCCTTGGCAGAAGTGCATGATGAGCATTCATCAGCAGTCACAAGTGAACTCGTGTAAAGGCTTGTCTACAGACAGATGTTTTTCCAACTGAGTCTTTGATTGGCCACTTGTACTTGTGCAGTATGACATGACCTTTAATTATACAGTCAAACACTACTTTTCCACCAAGCATTTGCCTCATTCACTGTACAAGATGGATGAGAGTGCTCTGGGAATTGAATTGGGCTGGACAATAAGGGAAATTACTGATTAGGGGTATCTCAGCTTTGTAAAATGAGGGCAACACTGCAGTTTGATGAGCATTCTCACCATCTTTAATCTTTCAAGCCAGGCACACGAACAGGCAAGTAACTACCTCACGGATTTATTCACAGACACAGAAATTTAAGATGAGCAGACACACTGATCGAAGCCACAGATCTCTCTAACCCTGTGTCCTGCCTCTGAAAGAGGTAAAAAGTGGATGCATATGAAGTAGTTTAAGGACAAGACAATGCTACCTGCAGGTATTCCGTGAAGTGCCATGTTTCTGAGGCTCAGGGATTTCCTAATTTGTAGGAGTCTTGAATGTAAATATTAAACTTCAGTAGATCAGCATCCTCAGCATCTCATCAAAGTCTTTCTAATCTTTTTCCATATGCTGTCTTCTGTGACAAGGCTCATGGCTAACCTCCCCCTGCTAGCCTTAAGCCTGCCATGTGGTGGCTTCCTTTGAATGGTCAGTCCCTATCTATTATCATCATGCAACTCATACATATATCTCATATTCTTTCATAAAAGGATACTGAGCAGAAGCCAGAGAATGTACCCAGAGTCCCAGAAAGATTGTAGCATGCCCAGAATGGAGCCAGTGTTCACTTCTGCTGTTATCTATGGTAGCTTGGCCTGCCTGTGCTATTGTCAGATATAGACATACTCTGTGGTATTTATGTTTTGGTGGCTCTTGGAAAAAAAAAAGACTGCTGATGGCTGAAATAGACGATTTCAGGGAGTGTATGAGTGGTCTCTTGGCCAAGTTAAGGGCCACTGTGGACAACAGGATTTTCTATCAGATGCAGCCACAGAATTTCTGTGTGATGCTGACATAGTCCAATACACGAAAATTTTCCCAGATGGCCATTAATTATGCATTTGAAATCATGGGGTTTGATTTGCAGAAGTGCTGAGCACTCACAGCTGCAGCTGATGTCATTGAGAGCTGTACGTTGTACATGCAAAGTGCTGCTTAATGCCAAGTTCCCTGAAAAATTGGTCCCTTCATGTCACTTGTCAGTCAGTGCAATTAACAGATGCTTTTGACCTGGATTTCTTTGTGTTCTGTTTTCCCTTTTTGTAATGGAGGACTGATACCACCCTGCCTCGTCATGGTATTAGATTTCTAAATTCTCAGACACAAAAAAAGCATCACAGTGCATCCCACTCATATAGCAACTATGTAATCCAGGGGGGATTTCCATCCTGTGTGGTGTATGAAATAAAAATTTCGAGAATGACACAACAGAGTATGGCACAAGTACCTGGAGAGTGACATTTGACAAGGGCATTTAGTGGTAGGACGAGGAGTAATGGCTTTGAACTAAAAGAGGGCAGGTTTAGATTAGATATAAGGATTAGATATAAGAAATTCTTTACTATGAGACACTGGAACAGGTTGCCCAGAGAAGCTGTGGCTGCCCCATCCCTGGAAGTATCCAAGGCCAGGTTGGATGGGGCTTTGAGCAATCTGGTCTAGTGGAAGGTGTCCCTGCCCATGGCAGGGGGGTTGGAACTACATGATCTTTGAGGTCTCTTCCAACCCGAACCATTCTATGATCCTGTGATTCTATCTACTCATTTCCCTGCCATTAACCATTCTGGACACTGATCTCACACATACACAAAATTATTCATAATGATCATGTAACAGGCAACTTTTATTATTTACTGGAGAACAAATTTATATTGCCCAAGTAGTCTTAGTTCTGATATCTTCTATTTTTCCTGCATTTTCCCAGCACTTGTCAGGGTGTTTGTTTTGACAGTCAACCTGAAACTATTTGGATTTTGAAATCTTGTAAAGTATTTTTGTTTGCATTTTGCCTTCTAGAAAATACTTGCAACAACAAACGTCTGGACCTTGTCTTCATCATTGACAGCTCTCGCAGCGTACGCCATTTCGACTTCGAAAAAGTGAAGGAGTTCATTTTAACCATCCTGCAGTTCCTGGACATCAGTCCTGATGCCACCCGTGTAGGTCTGATTCAGTATGGCAGCACAGTCAAACAGGAGTTCTCGCTGAAGACCTTCAGGCGGAAACAGGATATTGAAAGAGCAGTGAAGAGGATGATGCACCTGGCAACTGGCACCATGACTGGACTGGCTCTGCAGTATGCAGTGAACATTGCATTTTCAGAGTCAGAAGGAGCTCGATCTCTGAAGCAGAATGTGCCCCGAATTATCATGATAGTGACGGATGGGAGGCCTCAGGATCCAGTGGCAGAGATTGCCGCTAAAGCACGTAACTCAGGGATCCTCATTTTTGCCATTGGAGTGGGAAGAGTAGATATGAACACACTGAAATCCATTGGCAGCGAACCACATGAAGAGCACGTGTTTCTGGTTGCTAATTTCAGTGAGATTGAAACACTGACCTCTGTCTTCCAGACTAAACTCTGTGGTAAGATTTCCATCTATAGATTTGAATGTGTAGATGAAAGTAGAGCACGGAAGAAAATGATGCATGACAGTGAAACTTTTTTTTTTACATGAAACCTTCTCTGTGGGAATATATATATTGAAAAAAAGGGAGATCAGCAAAACATCATTCAGAACAGCAGTCATACATGTGGGGAAAATCTAATTCTACTGCTATGTGCCATAAAATATAATCTAATTCCTAGTGGTTATAAGCAGCGAGGCAAACACACAGGTCATATTTTCCTGTTTATTGCATAATAGCAATAAATATACAACACTTTCCTATTTGAATATCTAATAAGTTTTTTCATCTATTCCTTTTAAAGGTGATCTCCCTTAGTACTGAAACTTCAAACTGATGAACAGTTTTTTGGTTATTTAAATATTCTATGGAGTTCATGGATTCCTCTTCTGAAGCTTATATGTTAATTCCATGCAGACAATCATTTCTATACATGCCTTGTGACTTGATGTGAGGCACAGACATGGTAGTGTTTGTATTCTATTCATTTTAAATACAGAAAGTTAGGAAAATCCATTACAATGATACTACTCATTCATACAATAAAGTAAACAATATTTTGATAGGTATTAATTTACAACAGAGATATCACTTCCATCTGTAACTCCCTGATAAGAAACTGCCTTTGACAAATGTCATGGCATGCATAATTCATTTTATTCCAATCTGTATACTTAGTATAATTTTATTTTTTCCTGAGATAAATATGAAAGTGCTTCATATAGATTTGGCATTAAGCTGAGGCCTATTCAGCAGAGTCCAGAAAAAGAATGCATGGGGAGATTAAATGCTCACTCATCTCTAGGGATGCTTTTGCCAGAAAAGAACTGAGGCTTATTGTAAGGATAGTCTGGAGAATTTTCCTTACTTGGTCTTTTCCAAAATTGTTTCAAAGAGCAGCTGAACTGCATCAGCACAAAACACCAACACAGACATTCATCAGATAGTAGATTTTTTCCTGTTTCTTCCTTGCTGTATTATTTGCTGGGGTAGTAAGATATATTTAAAAACCAAGAAAAAGTAAACTAATGGAGTGAGAGTTTAAATGGAATGAACAGCAAATGCTTCAAAACTTTCTATTATTGGATTTGTGTTTTAGAAACAAATCCGATACATATGCCATTTACTTGGGGTTTTTTTTCTGACTAGGCAGTGTCCAGTAAATGTATTAGAGTTTTATAGCTCACTTCTAATCAAACACATGTTCCTCCATAAAACCATCCCCCTGCAGATGGAGGAGCACGGAGGTGACAAGGATTGCAGCTGCCTCCCATTCTCAGGCAATGTCTCTGCAAGGTCTGCTGTGCTGGAAATTGAAAGATCCTAAGATGTACTTAAAAACCCTCATGCAACAGAGAATTTAAGCTGTTAGATTCATATGGATTTCAACTTAAAACTGAATTGCTGATAGGGTCCTGAATATTTTATTGGCTCTCAACTGTGAAGCAGTGTTCAGCTTCCTGAATTTCAAGAGAGTAATCTAAGCATTCATAGCCTCTGTTTCCTAGGGCACCTACATTCGTCCCAGGAAATGTGGTTAGATTTTTTTAATCCTCTCAGGTGTGGACCCAGAGGCAATATCACTGTATCTGATTTGAACATCTGGACACCTTGTTCCTGACTGTCCTTGTGTCTGGATTGCCCTTATGTCTGTGAGAATGTGTCTTCATGGTTCTTGTGATTATAACAGAAAACCATGGATGAAGCTCTGTGGGGAAATTAAAAAGTAAACCAAATTAACCACTCTTTACCCACGGATGGCAGAGATTGCCAGGGGCCTAGCAGCTATATTCGCAGAAGAATCCGTAGAAACTGGCTATGCTCCATCCTCTGCTAAATCAGAGTTTCCCTGCATTTGCTATCTCTGGCTGCTAAAGATTTGGGGATGCCAGAAACAGCAGTTGAAGCCATGGGATCCCAAGGGCCTCTTTTTACTGATCAGCAAGGTAAGACAGAAGCAAAGAGTTTCCTGGAAAATCAGAGGCATGAGGAATGAGACAAGAGTTGAAAACACAGAAGAATGTAAACAGAAATGGGGACAGCATCCAGGAAAGGGGATAGAGATTAGAAGAAGTGTGAGAAAGACAGAACTTGGGATGGAGCAGTCAGGGCAAATAAAATCTGGATTACATTCCTGTAAAATAGATAGTGGTGTCAGACCCATTTTATGTGGGAGTAATGGGGGCACAGAGACAGGGTTAAATCTGACAAGATCACCCATTAACTTTAAATATTTGACTCAGTGCAATTCCTGGTGTCATTTTCTGGGGTATTTAGCATTTTTGGACTAAACCAACATATTATTCACAGCTCTACAGCTGTCACTTGCATTCTTGTAAATCAGATACACATGTCTCTTTCTGAACAGATATTGTGAAGGTTGATCCTTCCTTGAAGATACTGATATGATTGGCTTGCCCAAAATAAAATAAGGACCCTGAGGCATAGAGATAAAATCTAATTCACAATAAGGCTCACGTTCAAATTCCTTAACTATAAGATCACTGTGAATTATTACTTCACTCCCTGGTTGTGACCACCAAACACCTTCGACAGATGAGGTTGCAGAAATTACACAGACAGCAGGACCCTTCACCACGGAAATCAGACTGATGACCAGAGTACCACTGGTGCTTTGGAATGGGTGCAACAGAGACACTTTGGAAAAAAATTTATGTGATAGTATATCAGGAGCTTGGTAACAGATGGTAACAATATATTCTCAGAAGGGACTGAGTTATTGGGATACCTATCATTGCATGCTTTCATTTTCAGAATGACAGAAAGATGAAAAGACAAGAAGTCAAAGAAGGTCTGTATTCACATGAATAAAAAGTACTTGGGAAGTTTTATTATGGCAGAAATTTGTAAGATCCAAGAAGCTGATTAAGCAATTTGGGAATTGTGGTGGTTTGTGTATTAGTAATAAATGCCTAACTCTTGTAACCATTCCAAAGAGCAGATACACAGTATATATCTTAAAACCACATGTGGGGTTTTTTCCACAAGTCCCACACATACCACATGTTAAGTTAGTTGGCAGACTTCTGTTGTGGCTTATAGAAGATTACTGTTAATATCTGTTCCATAAATTTTGAGCTTTGTTGACCTAGCACATTAAGGAACACATTGATCCCTAATTGCTGTTGAGCGAAACAGTTTATTTTCCATGCAGTGTTCTCTGAGAAGTAATTCACCTATATGTTACAGAAATGACATACAAGCAATGCTACAGTAGATAGAAAACATCAAGGAGATTTCCTAATTCCCAAATACTGATCTGGAGAAAAATAGTTCAACAATGAATTGGATAGAATGGGCCCATCATTCTTTTTTACTGTCTCAGGCTGCTGCATTTTACTACTTGCTGTTAGAGGCATACAATACAAGGAGATTAAGAACAGACTCAGAAAGATTTATAATCTGGAGTGTAGCTCAGCTCAGCTCCTGCTTGTTGAATCTTGGAGATGCATGTCCTCAGCTTCATCATTTATTACATGCATGTTCCTCAACATCAATAACTAAGCAAGCAAAATATTATCTTCATTAAGTTGTTTTCTAGTAATTCTTCTTCTTCAGTGTTGCACTGTGTGGTGATTTTCTTCTAAAGCAATTTATACTTAAATTCCACTTATTTTCTAAATTTGAATGTGTTAGGTTTGTTTCATTTTCTTCTTGGGACCACCAAATAATTTGTGTTTTCAGATACTCTTTTGCATATTTTTGTTTTCTTAAGCTCTTGTTTTTGTCTTTACTAGCAACACTTAATTTGAAATTTCTAAATTACTTCAGTAAAATTTTCTACACCATTTTTTCAGTCACAAGTAATTAAGACCAGCAATTAATAATGTTTTACATTGTTTCTTTCAGTGCCTCATATGTGCAGTACAGTTGAGCATCACTGTGACCACTTCTGCATAAACACCCCTGGCTCCTACCTGTGCAGATGTAAACAAGGATACATTCTGAATGCTGACCAGAAGACTTGCAGCAGTATGTTATCTTTCTTACCTTTGCCCTTTCATGCTCCCAAGAAGTGCTTAAGATCACATACCCTTTCTGTTCGGCTCATAAAGAGCTGAGCTCAGTATATAATTAATGGCAATCATCAGAAAGAGTCTAGAAAGGTGAAGTTGTAATTCTTTTTCTTGCTTTGTGTAAGTGAAGTTCTTATAAAACTTTCAGAAATACATCAAGCTAAATTTTATGTGTCTCTACAGAGGTACACTGTAACTACAGAAAATTGCATTTGAATTTTATTGGTGTAATAAGTTCAACAATGAAGCAATCAAAGGAATAACTGCTTTAGCATCTCAGATGAAGTGAATCCAGCTACTTTAGTAGCTTTTCTAGCTAGCAACAGTACTAAATAGTACAGAGAGGCGCCATAAACCCCATACTAGATAACTGTGAAGTAACTTGACATTTTTGAAAAGTTCTTCCTCACTGCAGCTTGAAGTGAAAAAGTTAGCAACTGTTCAAAGAATAGTGTCAGAAGTCTTGCTTATGATCTCATTTTCTTCTTAAAAATGTTGATTTTTTTTAAGTTTTAAGTAATTGGCTGTATAGTCTGTAGTAACAAACTTTCACTTTAGCTGTGATCTTTGTAATCAGTATTTCTTCAGTCCATTTCAACTTGCTTTCTAGTAATTAACAGCAAACTAGATTAGATGAGTATGCCAAATTTATTTCTGTGTCCATCATTATTTTTTAAAAATTACATAACACTGATCTTACTTGTGGAAAATGTACTTGGTAAAAGTTCAGTTTCTTATCCCACAACAGTGCATGTATTCAAATGAAATTTGCCAAACTAATTTTAGCCAGAAGAAAAATTTTGGAAAACATCTTTTCAAAAAGCTGTAGGAGACAGTAGTTTTGAGAGCTTAGGATGTACCCCTCACTACTGATAATTTAGAATTAAAGTGAAGGATGCAGGCTCAAATCCTATCCTTGTGTTTGATGTTCTGCATCTTAGGAGAGTACCATAAAAGAATCATGTAGCTTGGGATTAGTGGATTCTTAGTGTCTCTTGCTTAGTGTTGTACTTCATATCAAATGCTTACTGACCACTGAAACAGTGAGTGTGTGGCAGTATGTGAGGTGACTCTGCAGCTTGGGGGTTAGAATCCTCACATGTGCATTGGGACACACACATGGTTTCAGTCAGAGCCTCAGTAAATGGTAATGGGAATTGTCATGACCCACCTGTAGGGAGTGTGATGATCATTATCAATTCTAGTCAGGCTGAAGAAAGACACCAGACCACCTGTCAGGGAACTTGTTTTATTGTGCAGTTGCCATAACTCTGACAACCAACCCAATTTTTAGACCCTAAAAGTGTTAGCAAACAAACTCTTAAATTTCTACAATTGACTTCAACAAGAGTGGAGGGTAACAAGCCCTTAATCTGTACAATACAGTATAGTAACTTCTCAGTTCCCACACCAAAACTCTTAAAGATACAGGCTCACAAGCCAAAACACACAACCAAAGGTGCTGGCTCACAAGCTGCAACACCACTTTTCAAATTCAGTGAAGAGTATGAGTGTAAAATATGATAACCATGCTTTACTTGGGCAAAGTATGGGGCAGTAACAAGCCCTTAATCTGTACAATACAGTATAGTAACTTCTCAGTTCCCACACCAAAACTCTTAAAGATACAGGCTCACAAGCCAAAACACACAACCAAAGGTGCTGGCTCACAAGCTGCAACACCACTTTTCAAATTCAGTGAAGAGTATGAGTGTAAAATATGATAACCATGCTTTACTTGGGCAAAGTATGGGGCAAGAGAGAGATAAAGACAGAAAGGGGAGAGAGCTAGCACCAAAAAAAATCCTTAGAGCTTGGGGGTTAGAATCCTCACATGTGCATTGGGACACACACATGGTTTCAGTCAGAGCCTCAGTAAATGGTAATGGGAATTGTCATGACCCACCTGTAGGGAGTGTGATGATCATTATCAATTCTAGTCAGGCTGAAGAAAGACACCAGACCACCTGTCAGGGAACTTGTTTTATTGTGCAGTTGCCATAACTCTGACAACCAACCCAATTTTTAGACCCTAAAAGTGTTAGCAAACAAACTCTTAAATTTCTACAATTGACTTCAACAAGAGTGGAGGGTAACAAGCCCTTAATCTGTACAATACAGTATAGTAACTTCTCAGTTCCCACACCAAAACTCTTAAAGATACAGGCTCACAAGCCAAAACACACAACCAAAGGTGCTGGCTCACAAGCTGCAACACCACTTTTCAAATTCAGTGAAGAGTATGAGTGTAAAATATGATAACCATGCTTTACTTGGGCAAAGTATGGGGCAAGAGAGAGATAAAGACAGAAAGGGGAGAGAGCTAGCACCAAAAAATCACCAATCCTTAGATCCTGCATTGATCCTGCCACATGGCTGTTTGGGAATTGGGGTGAAGCATGAGAGTGAAAGAAAAAGAGAGGAAATAGTGAGAGAGCAGGAAAAAGAGAGCGAGGTAGCCTATGCTACTTAATTTCTTAAGGCATTTTTAACAAGCAGTTTTTTCTTTCAAGTTTCTGAAATTTATTTGATATTCAAAATTTCATTTCTTTTTAATTGCCTCTCACTCATTGTCCCAATCCTTGTCCCTAGCATCAATTTTGACAACTGAACTATTTTTTGGGAGCTAATAAAAAAAAATTTTAATTACAAGTATGAAAAATTCTTTCTTTATTGTCTCTCCTTTTTATTTTTTTTATTGTGTTACATTTCCACAGGTTTTATCAGCCAGTAGTCCAGCTTTTGGGCACTGTATTGCTTCAAATTACAGATTAATTTCAAAGAGTTTTAGAATTGTGTGTAATTTTCCTACTGGTGACCCATGCACAGTAGCCCTCTATATGTTCCCTGATTACCATTTTTGGAAGCCCTTTGCTGCATTGCTTTACTTTTTATTTTTTAGCTATGGCTTATATTAGTTTTCCCCAGTTACCTGTCACATATGATTTCCTTGATTGTGTACTTGCTTTGATCATCAATGATCAGATGGTACCATATTGCAGTTTAATAAATATGAAAGGGAAATTTGTAGCCTACTTCTAATGGACTGTTTCTGCATCACCAAACTATGAACTAATTTTAGCAAATAGCACTGGAAATCTAACATTGAGAGCCATCAAACTGGCCTTAAACGTGCTAGGGTGGAGCAAATCATTGGTGACAGAGGGAGATGATACAGCAGCAGTCTAGGGAAGGTCAAATCATTATGTCTGAAACCACCACAGAGGTGTAACAGAATTGATGGGTATAGAGGGTCAAGCCTGGACAAACAGGACAGCTTAGTTCTGGAGGTAGAGGGAACCATGGTGATAGAAAACCCCACAGTCTGTATTTTAGTTACCTTCATTGGCTGTTAATTGCCCACAAGTGCACAGAGACAACATGTTCCTCACTTGACCTCTAAGTAAAATAAACCTTCATCATGTTTATGTTAAGTGCAATACATGATCAACATAAACCAGATGTATTTATCTAAGGTTTGGATGTGTTTGGCAGTTCTGTCATGAACAAATAGTTTCCTTACATATATATTGTAATGCTTTCTAAACTAAACAGTGCAAAAAAGATGAATGCTATGTACCTAAAGTTATACTCTCTTTTCATTCTTCTGTACCTGAAGTTAGACTCTGCTTTCATTCTTCTGTTCCTTTTTTCTTTTTATGCTGTGAGAGCACACCATATCAGTACTCTTAAAAGCCCTTAACTAAATGGTTTCAATCAGCAGTGAACTGACAACTTTGCTTCAGGCTGGAAAACAGTGCATTTATGTTTTGAATAGAAGATAATTTTCTTCCTTGATACATTTCATAATAACATTATTTCTAAAAACCAAAAATATTTCCTTGCATTGAAAGAAGAAAATCTGCCATACTTGTTATTTGTTGCTTTCTACATGGGGGAGGTGGGAAAGGCAACCCAGCTATTTTCCAGAACAAAACTAGGGGGGAAATAGTTATTTTGTTTGTTTAACTTGAAATACTCTTTCATTTGTTTCATTATGATGGTTTTGCATCCATGCAAAGGATACTCCTTTCACATACTGTGGTCTAACTTTTCTAGAAAAGAGTGGTTGTGTCAGATAATGGGTATTCTTTACTCATTACGCTGTATTTGTTTGTTTAACTAATCTCTTCCATTCTTCTCCAGAGATGCTCAAATCTTACATTAATACACAAAATAATACAAAAGAGGAAATGTAGCTGAAACAAGCTGGAAAATTATCTATTTATGGGTGTTTATACTGGAACAAAAGAGTTAAACGACTGTTTATGCTGCTCATCATGCTGCTTGATATGAAGCAGACAGCTATAAAAGAAAATTCGTTTTTGCTTGGCTAGTTTCCTCAAACATGTTCCAAAAGCCTATTTTGTAGCTGTAAATGACCATTATGTGTTAAACAGTCTTTCAGCAACACAAAGTACTCTGCTTTTCAGAGCATTCGCTGGGGAAACTTGGGGTTCTCATAAAGCTTTAATCTGTTGAAAACAAAGCCCAGTGTGCTCCATTTGGCTAGGTGCTGAGCTGACCTCATTTGTCATGGTAATTTTTTTTATGAGATCTTTTGCATGGGGGGGTAACTTGCTGTGGTATTTTGCACAAAACTGAAAAATTCTAAAACTCAGAAATCAAATACCCTCAAGTCTTTCAGTGTTGTGGTTTCCCTTTCTTTCCCTTTCCAACCTTATCATCATTTATCTGGTGATGCAAAAAAACCCAAAAAAAGACACAAACACAATTACTTTTTTTTTAAAAAAAACCAACAACTGAAGAATGCCCTTCAAGCTTTCTGGAGAATCATGCATCAAGCAACTCTACTAGGCACCTTTAGCCCATCAGTAGTCATTGCCTTCAACTGAAGGAATGAGTGCCTCAGCTTTGAGTGATGGGTCTTGCTTGTGTAAAACTTTAACCAGAACATTGGCACCTGTGTTAAACTGAGCTCATCTCTAAAGATATGTCCATCTCTTCCTGATGTTTATTTTTGTTCTATAGTTCACCTGTGCATCATAGAAGGTGAAAGCATTTCATATTCATGCAATTATGTTTTGTAGCTCAGGACCTTTGTTCTGTGGAGAAACATGCCTGTGAGCAGATTTGTGTGAACACACCTGGGTCTTACGTCTGTCAGTGCTATGAAGGGTACGAGCTTGATCAAAATGGAAAGAACTGTGTTGGTGAGTATGAGTTCAGCAATTCACATTTATCTCTTGACACAAACCAAAGGGAAATTAAATGTAAATGAGTATCCAGTATCCAGTTTAGCGATAGATGATGGGAAGTTCTCTTCTCCTGTATGAGTGGTAGATGAGGAAGAACACATAATTGGCATGTTTGTAGGTCTTTACTGATAATGAATGGTGTTTTGGGAAAATTGTTCCAACCAATTTCACACAGAAAGTAACATTGCTGTTCTGTAACAACACACCAGATGTTTAATTCTAGATCCGTGTAGGTGGCCAGCAATGTACTGGCACGATATATGTGGCCATTAAGAACTGAACAAAGCCAGATAAACTTGGTATCTCCTCTTCAGACAGAAGTTCTACATGGAAAAACTTGAAAGGGGACAATCTATTGCTATTTCTCACTTGATTTTATGGTCATGCCAGGAGAGATTTCAAATTCTTTTGGGAAAGGTGACTTTAAGGAAAGTTTAGCACCCTTAAGAACCTGCCCATTATGTGCCTTTAATTTTCACTATGGGCAATTGCAAGGGTGGGTTGTCACAGCAATAAAAGTAAACATCAGCTCTAAGAATTACAGCTCAAAAGAGAGACTGTGGAAATACAGTACAATAATTTTTCAACACAAAACATGCTTCCCTCTCTGTTACCGTGTAAGTATCTTACTCTTCTTCCCTGTTTATACACAGCAAATACTTTTAGTATAATCTTTTTTTCTATCCCGTTAACTTTTCATAGCCTACTTGTAAACTTTTCATCCCATGCTAAATTCTGGGAAAATACTGTCTTCTGGTATCTATCACAAAAAAATGCTAGTGAGACCACAAAAAAAAATTGCCTTATTAGTCAGGTATTCTCTTCAGGCAAGCATTTAAATGCATGCTTAATTTCAAATACATATTGAAATCCCATGGAAGTGAATCCAAGTGAATCCTTGGCCTCAAATCTCCCCAGGCCATCACAATGCTTTTGCCCACCACCTTACTCTTTCTTGTAATTTTAAACATCACTAAAGTAATATATCTGTCTCTTATTACCTTCACAGAGCTATTACCTTGCAGGATAACCTTGTTTTGAGACACAAAATAGGTGACAGTTTATGGAACTTTCTGCATGTAGTTCCACGTAAGATACACAAATGAGGTTTTGAGGTTTTTTAGGCCTAGGATAACCTATGTGATTTTGAAGAACATTCATTCTGTACTTACTCTTCAGAAATGTTTTCTTTACTTGTAGCTTCATGTTTCCAGTTTAGGAGTGTTTGAATTTCTCAGCATAATTTATCCCCAGCATAATTTGGCCACTAATTTACCCTTTTAAGAACCTGCTTTTTGAAGTCAGATTTTTTGGGTTTTTTTGAAAATGCAGCTAATGATGGTTATTTAGGCAAAGTGGATGTTCTGGCTCAAATTTCTACACCTAACATTCCACCAAAGTTCATCCAATAACCTTAGCTGATCGTCTTGACCTGACCCTGTGTTAGGATAAAGGATATACTCCTCTGCTATTTATTTGATGATATCTTGGTACAGAAAATCTGTTACTTCTGTTGGTAGGTTCTTTCATTCTCAGTTCTTTCCTCCCATATATTCTAATCCAAAATATTCATGTTTAGTGTCATCAGCTGTTGTTACCATCTTCTCTCTATTAAGCTGAAGGGCCCTTGACAGTCCAAGATACTCTTACCAGGAAGGTAGCTACCAGAACATCTTTCTGGTGAAATTCTTTGTATGTCAAATCTAATATTATCCTCTGTAATAAATAAAAAGTCTATTTTTCATATTAAAAGCTTAAAAATATTTCTATGCAATTTATTAAATTTTTTGCAGTGGCATTTGGGATTTTGCCTGTTAATAACTTGCCTGCAAAGTCTGGAGATGCTATTTAGAGGTGTGATACATCTTTGACATCTTTTTCTACCTCCTCACTGACTCTGTTTGGCATGAAGAGATACAGGCGTATTATAAGCTCTATTGATGACATTTGAAGATTTCACATTCTCTTTTCAATTATTTTCAGAATACAGTTCATGCATGGGTTCACCATCATTTTATAGCTGGTTTTCCTCTCCACTTGATTTCTATTCATTTGTACCTAGTTTAACAAAAATCTTGAATTCATGCTATTCATACCACTAAGATAATTAGCAGTGTTAATTGTGATTTTAAAGCACATTATTAATACTTCTTTTTATTAGAATTATATTAGGAAGATATTTCTTAATATGAGGGTGGCAAGACACTGGACGAGGTAGTGCAGGGGGGCTATGGATGCCCCAACCCTGTTCAAAGCCAGGTTGGATAAAGCCTTGAGCAATTCATGCTATTCATACCACTAAGATAATTAGCAGTGTTAATTGTGATTTTAAAGCACATTATTAATACTTCTTTTTATTAGAATTATATTAGGAAGATATTTCTTAATATGAGGGTGGCAAGACACTGGACGAGGTAGTGCAGGGGGGCTATGGATGCCCCAACCCTGTTCAAAGCCAGGTTGGATAAAGCCTTGAGCAACCAGGTCTAGTGGGAAGTGTCCCTGCCCATGGCAGGGAGGGTTGGGGCTAGTGTCAGCTAGTTACCTGAGTGGCAGTAGTTAAATAGAAGCTTGCAGCCAGAACAATGTATCCATTCAAAGTGACCACTGAACAGCCAACCACTCTGAGTGTTTGTAACACACAGTTTATGAACAAGTTTGTAGACTAAACAGTATTTGAAATTGTCTGCTCAGTTGTAAGTATGGCTGGCACAGCCCTTATCGCTTTCCCATTTTGAACAGTTTTTCACACAAACAGTCATGTAAGTTTAAGTTTGGTGGCAGTGAGCCATTCTTTCTCCATCATGCTGCTGGACACTCAGTCTCTCCACCTTCTTGGTGCTGCTGGAAATCTCTTTCCTGGCACTAGTGCTAGACTGTCTCCATATAGCTGCAGCTGTTGGGCTTGGGTCCTCTTGTCCTGGCAGTGGTTTGGCTGCTGGCACATCTCTGCGGACCTGACACCACTAGATTTTTTTGGCTACTTTTTAGGTTCTTATGAGTCTTCCACGAGTTTGCTCTACTCTTCCCCATGCTTCTTCATCCTCCTTATGCTTTTACTCACTGTCACCTTTTCTTCCTACTCTTTTCTTCCACCCTTCTCTTTAACTTACTTTGTTCTCCTAAGGCTGAATAACCTATATAAACATCATAGGAGTAAAACACCAGTACAAGAGAAGTGTGACCCATGCTGTCCATGGTTCAGAGATGGCAATGTAAGCACCCAGAGGGCAGAACTGCTAACTGGAAGTAAAAGATGGCTCTCATCACTTACTAATTCCGGGCAAGAAAAACAGGGTGGAACAAACATGGTGAGGTAACAACTGAATTAATAGTTTGCTTACTAAAAAGGAAATTAATTTATCATTGAGAAAAAAATCTTTTTGAAATAGGCATGAGATAATGTTAAAAACAGATCTCTAAGTGTTCACATTCTAATATATGTCTCATGACACTAAAAATATGAAAATAATGAAACTTATACGAGTTAGGGAAATATTATTCTGCTTTACTCTTATACAAACTATGTATATTTTCTGTATACCAACTAAAGGATTACAGTACTTCAGTATAAGAAATACAAATGTATAATTTTTCTCAGGCTTTTCAGGATTCTTTAATTCCATGGACAGCTTACATATTTGCTGACTGGAATGCTGTGACAAGTTTCCCTTCTAAACAAGTACCATCAAAATGAAGCATGAAGCTAAAATTGAAATGCCCTTATAGGTCAATTACTAGTGCCAGTCTACAAGGCTAAGCTTGACTGTTATTTGTATACAAAAATTATTGGAAAAAGGGAATACTACTTATCTCCAAAAGCAACTGCCAAGTGGATGGTCTTGCTTCTTAACTGTGTTAGTGGAAAGGCATTATTTAAATTAATATGTTCATTGTTCTTATGGGCCAACAGACCTAATTCTGTGAGTAAGAGATTCCCAGAAGGTTACAAATCCTAAAAAGCAAGTCTGGAAAAATTTGTTGAGCTCTTCTCCCTGATATCCAAGGATAGGTCATGTGGGAATGGTTCAAAGCTGTGCCTGAGGAGATTTAGACTGGACATTAGGAAGCATTTCTTTACCAAAAGGGTGTCAAACACTGGAACAGGCTTCTTAGAGGTGGTGGATGCCCCAAGCCTGTCAGTGTGTGAGAGGCATTTGGACAATGCCCTTAACAACATACTTTAACTTTTGGTCAGCCCTGAATTGGTCAGGCAGCTGGACTAAATGATCATTGTATGTCCCTTCTAACTCAATATTCTATTCTTAGCTTTATAATCATTAGTTGATGAGTTGCAGGTATGGCAGTAGAAATTAATTTTGTTAAGGTTTAAATGCAGAGTACAAGATGACTTTACAGAAAATTCCATATGGGCTATTTCCCAGGCATGATGCTAAACAGAAAAAAATGTATATTCTTTGGTCTACCCATTTCTTAATGTGTCTTTTAAAACACTTGAAAATGTGTATGTGGTTAGAATTAATTTAAGAGGAAAGCTGGCTAATTGTATGACACATTATCTCCTTGAAATAGATATTCAGTAACTAGGTTTTTATGTGAATCTATTCAGTTTGAAAACAGGAAGGTGCTTCCCAGGAAAATGGTCTCACACAGTAGCCAGTAAGTAGTTTAATTTGACTTGATTCAACACAAATACTCTGAAGGGTTAAAAGAAACTCTTTCAGAGTAACTAAAAGGACTATCTGCTTTCCTGACTAGAACACCTTGACTACATATCTCAGCCCTCCTGAGTGTGCATGATTTACAAAGACAGGGCAATTGAATAAAGAACTGATTGAATTGAAACAAATTACTGCCCCTTAAATAAATTTGTAAGGCTCAGCTGTATAAAGTAGTGAAAGAATTACTCAGTTGTCAAAGAGGAACCTGTCTCAGTAAATGTCTGTGTGAAGCTAAGCACATTACTATCTTCTGCAGAAGGACTCAGGTATACTTGCCTAATGTAAGCTTTCTGGGGAGAGAACACCTGCTTTGTGACTTATCTTTGATTTCTTCTAAGACTTTCATTGTGAAGGTAGAGCGTAGACTGCAAAGAGATGTAAAAAAAAAAATCAGTTGACTTCTTTAGCACTTTTGAATGGGCCTGACAGAGTAAACTCTGAAGTATTACCTTATTCCCCTTTGGCAATCTACCTTGTAAATACAGGTTTGTGTAATAAATGACCAGACTTACGACTGCACTGCCTGTAATATTTTATTTTTTCTTAAAGAAGATGTTATATAAGCAAAGTATTGGTGGTGAATATCAGCCTGAAGCTCTCGAGCTTCATAGCTGCAGCTGCTTTGTACTGAATGAATCTGGAGCACATTAGAGGGAATGAATGTAGTGTGACAGTCCTCAGTGTAGAAGATATTGCCAAGGTTCTATGTTCTCAGGCTACAGGAACAGCTCTTGAGAGCTAATACAGCTGGGAGGGAACTGAGGAAAAGTAGAGCAATTCCAGGACTGGGACTTGAGAGACAGAGACAGAAGTAAATCAAACAAACTTTGCTATGCCCTGGCCTACAGTGTGAACATCTGGACAGAGTTACTGACTGAGGCATGGTTTCCAGATCTGAGAAAACATGTTGAGAAAGCTCCTAACAATATGAGAGTTGATAAATGTTGAAATTTAAGAAATTATCCAGGGCTCATGTCAAATGTGATTTACCAGCTGGTGTTGAAAGTGCACTTTTTGCAGATAGGCTTTAGAGGACAGAAATTATGTCAGCTTTTCATTTTTTTTATAGCTATTGTGTGTATCTAGTACCATAATATCTATGTATAATAGTTCTGATTTTGTTTTTCTAATTGCACATGTTGGTCTTGTTCTTTTTCAGTTGTAGACTTCTGTGCTTTGGATAACCAAGGTTGTCAACATGAATGTGTTAATGCTGAGGACTCATACTACTGTAGATGCCACTCTGGGTTCATTTTAAATCCAGACGGAAGAACTTGCAGAAGTAAGTTGTGGTAAAGTTTAATTCTGGACAGGTTGTACTTCTGTCTTCCAGTTCTCAGCAGTAATACTCGCACTGGTCCCGGGAACGCTGAGAAATGCATCGGGTGTAGAAAATGTTGCAGTGCTCTGGAAACCAAAAGTCTTGAAAGCAATGCAAGTTGTTTTGGAGGATAGTTTGCCTTTTGAGGGGAGGGGCTAAGGGAAGGGGTCCCTCCTTTGAACAGGAAGATATTAACATGAAACCAGGCTCCTTTTCGACAGTAAAAGGCCAAAACTTTGTCTTGCATTGTCTCTTTGATTATTCAGATTTTTCAGTTAGAATATAATCTCCCTAGCTGGGTAAACAAACAAATCGGTATAGACAATTTAGAATCAGTTTGGTTTGTAAGACGAGCTAAAATTATGAGTAGTTCCTCAGTCCGAGGAATCACTGCAGCCTATTTTCCCGTGTGTTATTCTCTAGAGTGAGTTCTTTGGTAGTGTTGACAAAGCTCTGGCAACATCAGTGTCTTCTACCAAGCTTCCATATTTCCATCAGGTTATACTAACTGCATGGCTTTGCTTGTTAATTTTTTGTCAAATTTGATTGATATCAGGCTAAAAAGCTCAAAAATCACCAAAGTTAGGATTGGACATAAAGCACAGGGGAACTGACACACTGGAAAATACTCTTACCAGGGCTTCCCATAATTGGGAAAACAAGCTAAAATCTCCACAGTGTTTAATGTTATAATTTCCTTTCAGGAAATGTCAGTGATCAACCTTAATGTACCTTCCTAGTCACTGTTGTTCATAAATCTGAGGCTTGATAAAGAAATTCTGCTTGTAAGCAGACAAACTCCATTAGTTTTAGGTGAGTGAAACTGCTGATGTCAGTGGTGAATTTCTGAATGTGTTCAGACATTATTGCTCAAAAAATGCATCAACACTGGATTTCTGTGCTTTTTACAGCCTTGGGGGCATTTCAGTCTTTCTGATGAGGGACTTTGTAAATCTATAGATTGCATTGTATATTATGCTTGGTACCTATTTCACTTAAATCTAACATTTAGAAAGAAAGCAACTAATGCAGG